TGCTGAAGTTAATAATGCTGTACCATCTGATAAAACATGCCATTATTCACAGCTTAATTAAATTGCGCATGGAAAGTTAACAGAAGGAGGTAATCAACCAATGCAACACAAACAACACAAAACTCAATGCGGCAAGCTTAAGCTGGCTCTGTTAAGCAACACATCAGTAATGGTGGAAAGAACACTTTTGGAAAGCACTCAGTGTCAATAAAGACATCCCTTTTAGTATTGATGAAGCAAGGCAGCTATCAGGACGCATAAAAACACATCTTAACTCACCTTTTCCTGGAGCAAGCACTAATGTTCAAGCACTTCGCAGAAAGATGTTACAAAATAGCCTGATGGGAAACATTCTTCCGCACAAGTCATAGCAGAAAGGACGATAAGCTAGTGGCAGCCAGGTAAAGGAAGAAAATATCTGCAACGCTTGAGGTGGAACACAGTGTTCAGCTTTTAAGCAGCAAATAAAATTTGAGGGGCAATCCCTCTCACCTTACACAATGTTTTGTCTAGCTCAGCATGCTAAATCCTATATTAATGTCAGGATGAAGTTTGATTTAATGATGAAAGTAACTCTTCTTTTCACAATCAATTACCTTACATAAATAATCTCTTCATAAATAATCTTAATAAATGAGCAGAGTATCTTAAGCATTAAAAACCAAGGAACCTCCATTTTAGGTACTTCATAGGAGAAGACAGACCAACTGAAATTGACCTTAAGTGCTTTTCAGAGCTCTGTAATACATCCCAGGTGGTCACCTGGGAAGACTTAGACTTCCTTTCAGCTGACAGAAATAAGTACTACAGGGTGAAAAGCACTTCATCAACTACAGTCACCTGTTTTGGGATGAGATTATAACAATTCCCTGGTGTGACAACATGTGCAGGCATTTAAAATATCAGGCAGCAGCACTAAGAACCCACTATCTGCAAAGCAGAATCTACATACTTAGAAATCTTTAAAGGTACAAATTTTCAGTCCAAACTGACTATTATATATTTGGTTCTTTGGCTTTATTTTCTCATTGCCTGTGAAATTATCAGTGTTCTCCACTGTTTAAAATAAAACCACTCTTTCTAGTGCTATAACTTTTGAACACTTTAATAACTTAGCCAATAGTTTACTTGTAACAAACTGAAATGGTGTTTATAAAAAAAAATTTAGGCTGCATCAAATCTTACCTCTGAAAAGGAAGACTCAAAATATGCAGAAAAAGACTGTTTTCCTGCAATTTTCTTGAGCAAAACTTTTCAGCTTCACTGGGACAGAAACCCAGCCAATACACCCCCAAAAATAGACTGCTGAAGGGAACAACAGTGCTGCTCTTTCCTGTCAAGAGCAGATGGGAGCAATAATACTTTATCAAAGCTTCAAGGTATCAAATGAACACAAATATTCATTTAAGTTACATTTTGCACTTGCAAATTAAAAAGAGCCAGGACATGCCCTCAAGAAGCTGGCATGTGATTGTCCGCACTATTTAACTAGTAATAAGCCTCCTGACAAGGGCTGTCCCTCTAACCCAGCACTTTCTCATGCCACACAGAAGCCTTTGGTCAGGAGATAACACAGATGAAGAACAGTTCCCTCTAGACAGCACAGATGAGGCCACTTCTTTTTAAGGAAGAGAATTTAGCCATGCTAAAGCCTTCAGGGGAAGGACTGGGTGCTGGCCTGTTTTTATTAGAGCTAAGGTAGCCCTAAAGACCGATGGGACATTGTGGGCACCTTTAAGTGCAAGATCAAGATTGTATCTGGAAGACTCACCATACCGTGGTGTTTCAAATACTAATGAATACATTCATGCACAAGAGCAATTTTCCCAAATTAATTAGGATTACTCCTATGTATAAAAGTATGCCAGCGTAGGTGTGTGCAGAAGAGGTCCTGGAATGTCAGTCATCATATACCCATCAGTTAAAGCACACTCATAAATATTTTTGTTTGAAAGATTGTACTAACCTTAATATAAAATACATGTTTTCTGGGTCTGATGACTCAAGAAGAACTTGCAAGTCTATACTTTAACTTACTCATCTTATATAAATAAACTTTCCCCTTGTGGGAGTCCTATGACATTAATAAATAGGGATCTTTCTCAACCAGACTCAGATTCTGTAAGAATCACTTAGGAACATTTAGACTAATTATTTGTTGCGAATTTTTCACTTGACTCTGTCTCTTCAATCAAGAAGCACGGCACTATTTCTTTCAGCAGCACAAGCCAGTATAATAGAATACTCTCATATCCAACACCATTTAATTAAAGTCTCAACTGGGAATAGTCATGGGTCTTGACAAAGTCTTGAAGGTTTGAATGCAGGCCCACTGGAGTGAAAGCCCCACCTATTCAGTTTGCCTCTGCACCTCACTGGAGCTATTTTCCTCATGGGGCCAAACTTTAATGATAGTACATTTAAAGGCCAAACTAGGGATAAGAGGGTACTGGGTGTTACATCCTGCCTTCAAAATAAACTCTATCCAAGTCACCAAGATTTACTCACAGAGATGACTATTTTTTAAAGTAGCACTGGAGGAGGCCGTTTTCCCCACACCACTTAGATAACTCTTAAAAAAATCTTTAATTTGTGTTGGGCCATGTTGAGTTTCTTGGCACTGACCGTGTGTCAGATGGAAAAGGTAAAAATGGACTGTCTTCCAAACCCTTATGGCATAAATAAATCAAGCTATGAATAAGAACTCTCATAAGTGATGAGTAAATATCTCCATTGCCTGATCCATCAATGTCAGGTGCCAGAGCTCATAAATGAATACTGAAGTCTGCAGATCTTTGAATCCCTTTGTATATGTCATGCTCTGTTTCTCGTTCACAATCTCCTGTTCTTAACAGTTGCTAGAGATTTTCACTGGGGAAAAAAAAATAAAAGGAGAAAATATTTTGTACAGAAATTACAAGGAGAAAGAACTTTCAAACTGATGCACCCCAACCCCTTTAGGAATTACATACTGATGTTCAACCTTCACTTTTGCTTTTTTTTTTTTTTTTTGTAATTTTTATTCCATGTAAAACAAAACAAAACCAAAATCAACCACAAAAAAAAAACCTCCACTCCTCAACCACCCCTAGCCATGAAAGACTGGAAAAGTATACTCCAAGAGACAAAATGTAGATGAAAGACAATCGCATCCAAAAGCACCATGGGAAACGAAAAGCCAGAGAACTCCCTAGCCTGAGGAAAGCTGTAGAGGTAAGCAGTCCAAAAAATTACACCAGCAGAAACAGTCAAATTGGAGATTGTTGGGCATCCTGAAAATTTTCTGCAGTCTAAATGGAACTGCTCTGCAATGTGTTCTCAGTTGGAGCTCTCTACTCCAACTTTCTCCTCATCTTCACCTCTTCATCTCAGCTTTGCTCCCTTTTCTTTTTCCTATGCTACATTTAACCTGCCTGATTCCCTCCCCCATATATTTCCATTAATTTATTTTTTACAGTAAAAATAAAAAGGTTCTGAAATGTCATTTCCATCATGAAAAAAATGTCAAAACCTCCCAATATTTTAAAAGGGAAAATGATCCATGTAAAAAGAAACCCCAAGCAGCATCTGGTGCCACAGTAGAAATTACAATCCTGGAAAAGTTAGGATCCTGTTTGTGCTAGACTCCCTCTGTGCACACATACTCACCCACTCCCTCCTCACAGTCCTGACTGACTTAGAGGGAAGGAGCCATTGCATTAAAGCAGATTTGGAGATGTTTAGTAAGACCTGGTCATAAGCAAACAAATCAGGACTGCTGACAGGTTTACAGGGCAGAAGATACTGGGTGTGACACACCAGAAAGTCACTTGCAGACATTAAACTGGCACAAATCTGTGGACTATGTTTTACTTACCAGTCTTGGGCTAACACCCAAGACTTTTCTCTCCTTGCAAAGGTATGACGTCAGGCACATGGCAGTTCTTGAGATTCTGTATAAGCCAGCATTGCCAGAGGCTCTGTGCAGGTGTGGTTAACAGTTATTTAATGATTCTTCACAATTGCATGTATCTGTCTGAACATAAATACAGTCTGATCATAATCTTTCTTTTCACACCATGAATTTGCCCTGGTGTTTCCACCCTTGCAGGTTCCCAAATGCCCAATGTCTGTTATTACAGACCTGAGATTCACTTCATCATTTTGAACCATTCACGAGCACTTTGCTGTCCTGTTGGCTCAGTAAGGTGAAGAGAATGAAGGCAGTGTATTTAGTACAAATGCTCCAGTTCTTCACTTAAATTCTGGATGTTTGGCTCCTTGATGACTCACAGGACTCTCCTCCCTTCTCCTTGTTTACGCAGTGATGACAAGTATTGTTAACTTTCTAAAAGCAAAATTATCAAAAAGTCCCCAGAACACTGGCAATTCCTGGGAGAAGCTCTCTGTCTTTCCTCTTTCTCAGCAGTTGCAGGAGCCTGAGCAGTTGCACAGTTCAATTAGTTAAAATAATTTTGAGTGATAGTTCAACTGTTTCTTTTCCAAAAGGTAATAGTTTTCCTAATTAGTCACTTGCTTTGATAAGGCACTGACTTTTACTCTAATCTAAATTAACAAGACTTTATCTACCTGCATCATTTAAACACACCCTACTTGCAAATCTGGTATGACTAAAAACCATGACAAGTGTTCGGTTTCATTTTACATTTGCTTCAAAGTGCCCCACTTGGAGGTTAATTATTAATCTACTAAAGTATATGTAAAGGTTCAGGGAAACAACAGGGTTAGTAGGTAGAGAAGTAGTGGAGGAATTAGGAAACCCATGTTCCATTCCCATCTTAGATCGTGTAAGTTTGGCCGAGACATTCAAACCCTGTGAACCTTTACTTAGAGAACCAAAATAGCAACACTCTGCACAGAGCACTCTGACATCCGTAGGGAAGAAATTTCATGGGTGTGAGGCAACAGGATGTTTATTCACACCTTAAAGAGACTGAAACTCAGCTAATCCCTTAAGAACTCACCTAGGAACTGGAAATCAAATACACAGTGCATGCAACTTAACAATTAATGATTTTATTACAGCTGCAGCAACAGAAGGACCAGCTCTCCAAGTATTTGCTACGTTTCTCTCAAAGGTGGTGAAAACATGCTCGATTTTTAGAACCAGTTTGCAGGACATGAATCCCCATCCCTCACCCCCCAAGGAGTGGATGTACCCTCGGTATAACTCTGCTCTCTGTTCCAGGAGTAAGACAGCAGCAGCATGGACCAGATTTTCAAAGATACCAATGGTTCTGGAGCTGTCCAGGGGGGCTGCAGAGAACGAAAACAAAACACAGCAAATGGAGGACAGAAAATGCACCAGAGAGGTACAATTTAGGGGTAATACTGCCAAATCCTGCCTACCACAGCAAAGTCTGACTGTCAACAGCCTGCTCCCAAATAGCTCCATTATAATGCACTTCACTTGGTCTTGGAAAAACATAAAAATCAGGAAGGTTTTCACACCATTATTTATTCATACATTTGGCTAATGCCTATATAAATCACGGGATTCCACCCAAAAATAGCTTTTTGAAAACAAAGAAACAACTAAAGAAATCCAACCCAGAAGTAAGAATGTTAAATACTTATTGCTGTTCAACTGGAATTTATTGGCAAGGTGATTAATTTGTTGATCCACAGTGCTATAAATAGTACTCGAACTTTGTTGAATTGAAACATATTCTTCATATCTCAAGTCACTGTTTACTCATGTAAAATATATGTGGGTTTGAGTTGGCTTAGGTGTACTTCAGCAAGGGCTAGCAAAGTTCAGTGAGTCTCCATCACATATTCAAAGTCCTTCATCCCTCAGTTAATTTTGCTGTAATTCTCTTCTTACAAGGTTGTTCACTTTCCTCCATCAATGCATGGACTTGAAGGCAGTGAGAGGCTATTGTAACAGCTCAGCTGGTGTTTCCTCATATCACGGGCCAGTGATAGCAAGCCTCTGGCATCAATACCAAGTTTGATGCCAACAGATATTTGGTCCGGCACCAGCAAAAACAAGCTATGATGGTTTCTTTTTAAGTTTGTTTGGCACCAGTAGCAAAAACCATTCACTATGCTTGGCAGAGAGCCACAGAATTTCACCAAATGGCTTCTGCATCATAACTTCATAACAAGCATAACACAGCGTAACTTCTAATTGCGGTGGAGCCTGCCCCTTAGCAAGCAATTCTCTCCTGGCAATTATGTATCCAGGATTATCAATACATGTGCTGCTTTCCAATACCAGTTTCTTCCTTACTGTAAGAAAAATTTCCTTGAAGAGATCCACAAGTCCCTAAGTCCATCACCATGTGGATTTTGTCTCTCGTGGTGCAGTTACATGAAACCCTGTAATCAGCCATGAGAAAAGCCTTTGGGGACAGTTACTGAATTAAGTCATCACAAAATATGTTGTAAATACTGTGTTGATTTAACCTCACCCTGCACTCTTTTATGTCACGTATTTCTCAGACTGCAAACCTGCAATATATTCCAGAGAGGTTCATCTTATGCCAGTGTGGAACCTCATTCAAGCCCTGGAGGCTTAACACAGCACTAGTAAAAAGCAAGAATTAGCTATAAATTATCTGAGTCTCGAGACAGAGCAATCTCCATTTTGACAGCTCCTTGCTAAATAGTACAGCACTTTCCAGTGAGGCCTTGTGGTGGATACCTCAGTGGACACAGCCCAGGACAAGGGCTCCAGAGAGCTCAGTTCTACAGACAGGGCTGCAACTGACTTACCAAATTATTTTCAGCAGGACTCGCCATCATTCCTTGTTGCCTGTAAAATGGGAGAGCTCTGAGATTTGTCGGTGAAAAGGATGGTGTAAGAATCTGGATTTTTTTCTCCAGTACTAAGCATTAATAACAAGAACAATAATGTCACTTCCTTCACAGGAGAAAATCTGTGCCTGCCCATTCTGTCACAATCCATGGCTCTGAAAAAAAAAAAATTTGCTTAGATGCAGACATTTTTTATGGAACATGAAGTGGGCATAGGGAGGAAGTGATACCAAGCTCTCAGCATGGGAAAATTTCATTCTGAGTAATGTCTCCCAAGAAAATAAAGACTGCATGAAACAAAGTTGAAATGGAACTCCCCATTGTAAATTCAGCTCTTAGTACCTGCCAAAGACACGAGAAAATCTCTACCCACAGGGAATGGATGTTCTTCTGAAAAAGTGCCAGTCTTTCCCAATGAGGGAATTCACGCAGACATGCATTCTGCTTCAATGATCAAACTCTTCCTCTCAAGGTCTAAAGGAATTTCCACTAACCTCCTTTCCTACGGCTTGGTCTCTAGCTGGATTTCCTTCAACTACAAAAATATACATAGTGCAATTAGCCAGCCCTCACAGACTGTAGTTCATTTATGCATGCTAGGCACATCTCCTGCTGCGAGCAGCCCATCCAGAGCGAGCTCTTTGAACTGCTCCATTGTTTCTCACGTCGTCGTGTATTGCATTGTCCAGGCTGATGGCTCCTGGCAAGGCAGTGCACTCCTGCAGCTTGCCACAGGAGGAGAAGGGATGATGGAGCACTTTGTCCAGCTGCTGTGCTGCACATCTCAGGTGCACAAATAAGCTTGCCTGCCCCTAACTATAGGACTTTCCAGACACCACAGAGACTTTTACTGACCAGTTGTTCTTATATGACCTTACTTGGAAACCCCCCTCTCTATTCTATAGTTAGTGGTCTGGAGAGACAGAAGGCAGAAAAGAGAAGTAACAAAGAACTGAGTGAAAAAAAGAAAAAAACTAGAAGAAATAATTTTTAAAAAGAATTTGAACCAAGAACATATCGTGACGCAGCTTTGAATGATGTTTGCTGAACTAAAAAACACATATCTCCATGGTTTAAAATACCATGGAGACAACATGGATCAACCAAAAATACACTCACAACCACCAGACAGCAAAGCATTTTTCTACATTTAGTAAGGAATATTTTTGTAATTGGTAGCTTGAGCAAATTGCAAAGGACTGTACAACCTCATTTCCAAGTACCCATTGGCAGACTATTTCTGAATTAAATGAGTGAAATACTACAAAAAATGGGAAGCAAAGCTGATCGCATGATTTTCAAGTGACCATTCACGTTTCGCCGTTTGTCTTTGACTGGATACTGTTTTGGGTAGGAAAAGAGGGGATTGTACATCAAAAAAAGTCCTGCTCTGCTGATCTAAAGAGGAAGAGACATTTCATTTTAGAACAAAGAATTAGATTTTTTTTACCTTGCTTCACTGGAGGTTTTTGGAGGTTTTTCTTGGGGTGATGGGGGTGGGGTGTTTGGCTTTGCTATAATACAGCACATCAAAGTGCTTTTGATGTGAAGTTTACTTAACAGAATCAGTTTTTCCGATGATTGTGTTAATCTTTATAAACCTGAAGGCGATACTGTGCCTTTTTAAAAACTATAGCAGGAAAAGACTTGAGGTTACATATACTCTCAGTGGTGAGAGATGGGAGTAGTTGGATTATTTCACCACTTCTTACAACTTTGCTTGCGTTTCATTAGCAGCACTAGCAATGGGCTTGATATTGCTCTCACTCAGGCCAGGAAGGCTCTGTTTAAACCCAGCACAGACCTTTCATAAGCACCTTTCATATATTTTCTCAGGTCAGAGCCACCAGAGATTTCAAGGTAGAGTTTACAACAGGCACTGGCTCAGAGATAGCAAAGGGGCCTTGAGCCACAACAAGAATCAGTGCTGATCTCAGAAAGGTTCCCTGCTCCCACCCATTAATAGCTATCTTTGTATTATTTTGAGTACAAGCTTCTGTCCCCTCTTGAATCTTGTAAAACCAGCTTTGCCATCCACTCCTAGTTTTGAAGTATGGCTGTGAAAAAGCTTCTGTTATGTCTGACGTGTTTACCTACAGCATTTGAATGACTTTTTAAGTTCTTTGAATAAAGATAAGAGACAATGTGTACATTTTCCACACAAATAGTGGAACGGTAATAAAATAAACATCAAAGGCAAGCTAGCAAATCATCGCTACTTCACTGCTATTTACAACAAAAGCAGGAAGAGGAACAAACCTACCCTTGCCATTGGCATCATCATAGAAAATATGAGTTTTGGAAGGAATTATACCTTTTTCCCATACCCTTAAACACAAACATTGGCACCTACAGCTAAGACAACACTTTACTGAAGGATTTCAGTTTACATCACATGGAGACAACAACAACAATGAACCAAGAGAGGTCTCCCTCCTCTTATTTTTGTCTTTCTGAATTGCCTGTTTTCTCAAGTGGTACAGCTTTTGTGAGAACAGCAAGACATCCAGTGTATTATTATTTCTATTAAAGTTTTCAAGAGGGGGACATAAGAACCTCTCACTCTTCAGTATTTACCATGTAAACTCATGCAGACTGAAGAAATGGCAAAGCTTTGAAACAAAATACAGGTGTGTGGGGGGGAACATATATTCTGTTCAAGAGAGATCAAGATAGAAAGTAGGGCTGTTTGTTTCTCCTCTTAGTCTTTTAAACCTGCATTTTTTTCATCTTCCTCTCCAATACTTCTTGAGAGCCAGACCACAGTGGAATAGTTCTAACCAGAGTGACTCTGCATTATGTATTTATTCTAAACTAAGGTCTGATTTAGAAAGACTGCTTTTGGAAAATATGGAGCAATCCAACTCTTACTCCAGGACACAAAATTCAAAGCATACATATGAGAAATAAAACATAAGCACCACACTGGATTTCTGCTGACGTTACTGTTATTGTTTTGCAGACACCAGCGCTACTGCCATATGAAGTGAAATGGAATTTTGCAATGGACTCTGAACAGTGAGCAGAACAGGGAGTTTTCAGAGAAGCTGCTGCCAGCTAGCTCTTGTCATTGAGTTCTTCTACCTAGCATAATGTTGAAGGAGGAAAAAAAAAAAAAACCTCTGAAGGAGGGCAAGACCCTGACAACTTAAACCTAAAAAGAAACCCAAAAAGGATGACTAATTTTTTTAAAGAAGAAGAATGTCTAGGTAAAATTGCAGAATACATAGTCCTAAGTTTTATGAGAAATTTACAGACTCGCAGTGATTTTAAAAATGTTAAAGTTACCATTAAAAACACCCGAACCCAAAACCTACACAATAAAAGATTTTACTAGAGAGTGGCAGTTGTAAGAGAGAGGTTACAAACACACCATCCAGAAGAGCTTAAGCAATGCTACTACAGAAACAGTAGCACACGTAAAACTGAGGTTAAGGCTTTGACTAACTCTCTCATAGCAAAACTCCAAAGCAGTGCCTACCTGTTCCCATTCTACCTCTGCACCAGGTGTGCTTATGACAGAAGGAAAGAGAAGACCAGGACTGAAACAGTTTTGTCAGGCTACATAAATCATTAAGAATTCACAACTGCAAAGCCATGTATTATTTTCCAACAGGTTGTTGAGCTGTCATATTACAACTTGTTGCTTTGTACGGCGCTATTAAAATAAATCACTGCACGTAACAGGTTCAGCTCTGCCACCTATAAGTCATTCTGCATTTTACACCTGGGAGGCGGGCCGGCTCTGCTTAGTCGCGCCGAACTGCGGCTTCGTTCGAAATACCCGGGGAAGGGGAGGGACCTGGCAGGAGAAAATACAAACAAGTTTCGTAAAATAACTTTCCAACAAGACCTCGCTGTCATCTTGGCTAATTATGGCTCTGATACGGCTTATTAGGGCATACCCACCTTTGCTACCTTGCTTCTCCACCCACCACCCTTTCAGATCTTTGTCCTGGCTCCGCCTCTCGCCGGCGTTATAATGGGCTGGTCTGAAAGTGGTGGAGAGACACACAACCACAGGGGAAGGGAGAGATAATGACAATAACACTAATAACCCTAATAACCCGTCTACTGCCCGCCACGCAGCGAGGAGCCAGCCCGGCGTCCCGGCACTGACAGGGCTCGAAGCCGGAGAGAGCGGAGTATCCCCGACGGCCCTCGAGAGCTTCTCCCCGCGCCCGGGGAGCGCCGAACGGCAGCAGCGGCAGCGCCCCCGAGGAGCACCGAGCCCGGGCGGACGCGGAGAAGTGCCGGCTCCGGCAGCCGCCCGCCCGCCCTCTACTCGCACCGGCTCCACGGGGACCTCCTCGCCCCTCTCCTTCGGCCCCATGGAGCAGCGAGAGTAAAGAGCGAGAAGGACAAAAAGGGGGCGATAGGAGAGCGAGCACCCCAGTGGGGAAGAAGGAGGTGGAAGCCCGGAGGAATCGCCCGGTCCCGAAGGCGGCAGGGCACCGCAGCCCGTCCTCGGCGCCCACCGGCCGCGAAGGGGCCGGCCCGTGCTAGCGACCCGGGCACCGAGCGGGGCTGAGGCGGGCGCCTGCGGCCGCGGAGCTGTCCAAGCCGGCGAGGGGACAGAAAGCCGCTGGGTCGCCTGGCTGCCTCCCGCCTCCCTTGAGGCCGCGCCGAGGGGCGGGGGTCGCGCCCGCCCAGCGGAGCCGCGGGGTGCGGGGGGGCCGGCGGCGGCGCCGCCATGAAGCTGGAAGTGTTCTCGCAGCACTATGAGGACAAGCTGAGCACCGGCAGCGACCAGGAAGGCAGCGGCTCGCTCTCCCCCGCTCCGGCGGAGAGCGAGCTGGGCTCGGACGGTGACTGCGCGGCCAACAGCCCGGGCGGCGGGGCCGGGCGGCCGGGGCATCCCCCGCCGCCGCCCCCCACGCCGCAGCCCCCGCCGCCGCCGCCTGCCGAGAGCGCCAAGGGGAAACCCTACACGCGGCGCCCGAAACCGCCCTACTCCTACATCGCGCTCATCGCCATGGCCATCCGCGACTCGGCCGGCGGCCGCCTGACCCTGGCCGAGATCAATGACTACCTGATGAGCCGCTTCCCCTTCTTCCGCGGCGCCTACACCGGCTGGCGCAACTCGGTGCGCCACAACCTCTCCCTCAACGACTGCTTCGTCAAGGTGCTGCGCGACCCGGCGCGGCCCTGGGGCAAGGACAACTACTGGATGCTGAACCCCAGCAGCGAGTACACCTTCGCCGACGGCGTCTTCCGCCGCCGCCGCAAGCGCCTCAGCCGCGCCGCCCCGCCGCCGCAGCCCGCCCGCCCCGCCGCCGGCGTCCCGCCGCAAGTGCCGCAGGAGGCGGCCGGAGCGGGCGCCGCGTCCCCCGGCGCTTCCCCGCGGTGCTGCTGCGCCTCCTCGCCCTGTCACTGCGCGCCGGGAGCCAAGGAGGCAGCGGCGGGGGGCGGCGGGGCGAGGCCGGCGGGCGGCGGCGCTGCCAAGTTCTCCAGCTCCTTCGCCATCGAGAGCCTCCTGCAGCGGCCGGCAGGACCCCGCGCCGCCCCGCAGCCGTCGCCGACCCCGCACGGCCGCCTCCTGTGGCCGGCACCGCCCGCGGCCCCGCACCTGCTGCCCGGGCCGTACCCGCTGCTGCCCTACCCACCTGCCGCGCAGCCCCCGCCCGCCGCCGCCCTCTACGGCGGGGGCCTCCTGCAGCTCTGCGCCTACGGGCTGGGAGAGCCCTCGCCGCCGCCGCTGCTGCTGGGGGGCGGGCGGCCCGCGCTGGCCCCGGGGGAGGCGGTGTCGCTGGCGGAGCGGCCGCGGGCGCCGCTGTTCCACGGCGGAATCCCCAAGGGCGGGCGGGGGCCGCCGCCCGGCTCCCCGCTGTACGCGCCCCTCCGGCTGGCCGGGCCGCTGCCGCCGGCGGCGGGGGGCTCGGCCCCGTTCCAGCCGTACGCCGTGGAGACCCCGCTGGCTTAATGGAGCCCCCCTCCTCCCCTGCGAGGGACCTGCCCGGGGAGGCGTGGAGGGGGAAAGGAGGAGGCTCTGGATCCCGCACTTTAAACTTCAGAGGCGACCACAGCCTCCAAGCAAAAGCCTCGGTGACTGTGCCTTAGTGAAATGACAGTGGGTTTAACTTAAGCCAAAAAAAAAAAAAAAAAAAAAAAAAAGGAAAAAATAGGAAAAAATCAAACTGTCGGTTTGGACATAGCCATGAGCCTCAAGTGCTTCTTACTGTTCGTTGAGACTACTTGACTTAAGCCAGTCCCTCGCCATATCTCCTTTCTATGCCCCTCTCTTGTCCCCACATCTCCTGCTACCGAAGCCTGGGGCGGCAGGGCGGGGGTGCCCCGCGGAGGGGCGCGGTGGCGGCCGCTGGGGGATGCGCTGTGCGCTTGGGAGGGCGGGGAGGAGGGGGGGGCCGGGAACAGCAGCGAGAGAGTAGGGGAGGGGGCCAGGGTCTGCTGAGGAGCCGTAGGTCTGTACTGCAAAGCAATGCATCACTGTGCCAAAAGAAACCTTTTCTCCTGTCCGGCAACTGGCATTTCCTGGGAAGGGAGGATATTAAATTATTTATAAAAGTAGTGTTTTTAACACAAAGAGAGTGCAGCTTTTTAAATTAATTATTGGAGGGGGCGGGAGAGGGGAAAGGGCTCAAGGAAATGTCAGGCGTTATCTCCTGTACTGGCTGGCGTTCTACGTTTATGGCCAAGACCATTGCTACTGGAAAGAGAAGAGTAAATGTTTTCATATTTTATTTTTGTGTTTGTATGTAATATATGTGCGTGTGCATTTTATTGACGCTCGGCCACCATGTTTTCCTTTCTCCTTTCCCCCGAATAAAAGCTGCCCCCTAAATAAAGGCGGTAATAAGGAGAAGAGCGTGGTGTCTGTGCTGGCGTGAGGGTGGGAAGCCTGTCGTGGGACAGCCTGGGCCGAGAAGCTTGGCAAGGGCCGCGGGAGCAGCAGGGCTGCCCATCCTTTCATCCCCATCCCTGCCGGCGGGTGGAGGTGCCACCTATGGACCCGCCTTATTTTGGTCTCGGGAGATGAGAGGTTCTCCTCTTGGGCTGCCTCCAGGAATGAAAGTCCTCTGCAATTCCTCGAGTCAAATCAGAATTTCTCGCCGGGGCTCAGCCCTGCAGAAATGCTGGAGATTTGCAGGCGGAGAGATTTGCAGGCAAACCGCCTGACGTAGGGGCAGCCTGTGAAAATCCTGTACATCTGCCTGCCTTTTTTTTTTTTCTTCCCCTCGGTTTTTTTTGGTTCGGTTTGGTTTGGGTTTTTTTGTTTGGTTGGTTGGTTTTGGGGGCTTTTTTTTGTTATTTTTTCCACGAAGGACAGCAGGCGACATGTAATCCTGTTGTCATCTCTCGGTCCAAGGAAAACTCGCTTCAGGAAGGTCACTGGCACTACCGGGCCCCGGTTACTTCTGGTGTAGACATCCCCGGTGGCGCTTCCAGCGGGCAAATCCTCAGCGGGTTGAAAGCTGGGGAGATTCTGTTGGTAATAAAAACTTCGCACGCGTTGCCTTCTCCCGACGGGCGTTGTGTTAAGGCTGATTTGTGTCGTCAGAAGTGATCAGCAAAGCCTCAGAAAGGCTAAGTCGGGAAAAAGGAAAGGTTATGGGGCTAACTGCCTGTCCTGCTGAATTCAAATCAATGTCATCCCCGAACTCGAAGAGTTATACAAATGCTGAAATGATCATTCGGGGTTCGTTTGTTCCGTTGCTTGTTTTAATTAATACTTTTAAAAGTATGAAAATCGGCGGGTTTTTTCCCCTTCAAATCCTCTGTAGGCACAGGTTACCTAAAAAAAAAAGAGATGTCAAGGAGAATTTTTAATTACATCTATTTCGGACCTCGGAGTTTCTCTCCCACCTCTTTTTCCCTCAGCGCCGAGATTCAGAGGCTATCTTCTGCCCTACTCGCAAAAATTATTCCGAATAGCAAAGGTGTGTTGTGAAAGGAAAGCTTTAAACAGAACAATCTGCGGCCGAAAACACCGACTTGTTTCAATACAGCTCAAACAGATTTCACGGTGCGTTAAGCTCAGACCATAACATCCATCAGAACATTGCGAGAGATTAGTGACTAATGTATGAAGTAATCCAGCCCTTGAAGGAATTGGTTTTTATGTACACACGCGCACGCACACATACAGACACACTATTTCGACATCATTCTGCCTTCAAGGCTCTGTGCAAATATTAATCTACCCTTCCATAGTCTGCTCTTTCCTCTGGCTTGTATTTTACCATCTCTTTTTTATAGGAGCCTGTATGACCTGTTAGCATGCAACTCCTAGTATCTTTTGCTTTTGTCCATCTGTAAAGGTCATATTTCAGGGTATGTTAGAAGTATATTGATAGAAAGCAGAATTTGTTGTTATAGCCACAAGTGTGTATTTTAATCGGATGTTTTTAAGTGTGAATAGGGATGAATTGTGTGTAAATGTATGCTTAACAGGATGACATTGAGCTTTTTACTTACAAAAAAAAAAAAAGAAAAAAGAAGAAAAAAAAGCCTGCAGAGTTCGATATATCCCTTGTTAAAAGTATTCTATTCTGTATTTATCTTCTATGAAACTCCATTTTTTGATACGTCGAGAAACGTATGTCTACAGCACAGTAACAGGGATATCTGTGTCCTCGCGATGCTTTCTTAGCCCTTATTTGGACAGGGCTAAGACAATCTCAGACAATCTTTATCATCATCATCAGAGATGAGAGTTTAAAGTGATGCGGGGCGATAGGAGCAGGGGGCGGGTATCGCCTGCTGTCCGTAGCCCGCTCGGCGGCGGGGCTGTGCGGCTTTCGGTAGGGATGGTCTTCTCCGCCTCCTCCTGCTTGAGCATCATCCTCCTAAAAGGAGGCAAGAGACGAATTTCCCCCTGTTGACCTTTGGGTGGGAATTGTCCCATTCGCACTACTTCTCAGAGCACGCCGGCTGGTTTCTTCCGAGCGAATGAACGCATGGGCAGGGAGAAGCCGCTGTACCGGCTGTGGGCCCGCACGCACGGCGGAGGCACCGCAGCAGCCCCGCCGGGCGGGCGGAGCGGCCGCAGGGACCGGCCGGCCCCGGTGCGCAGCCATAAATCCGAGCTGTCAGCCCTGACAGACGGCTGGTGAAACACAGCACCTGTCCAAACACTTTCCAGCAGCAGGTAATCAGAGAACCGACACTTTACATTTTTGTGCGGAACAAGCGCATTAACCATTTCACAGACCTTCCCAAAACAGCGATGTTTGCGTGTCTGGGTACTTTGTCTTTTTTAACGTCTAATAAATCAGGGTGACAGAAGAGAGACAAAGCCTTTTGCCTTGTGATATTTGACACATCAGCAGCGAGCCAACACTTTGGCGCCACGGGCTTTTAGTCCTACCAGTGTCTGCATCACCCACAGCATGTTCGTTGGGTGGGTGCCGTTTGTGATGTTACTTGAGGGATTTTTACACGCTGCACAGACAAAAATCAGGTCAATAGCAAAGAAAGCCTGACAGGAACAGGGAGCAAAACAAGTCTGTCACCGTATGAGAGGACCTGAAAACATCCCATGCTGGCTGCTCCAACTCCATTGCAGTTTCTTCAATGGAAACACCAGCCCGAGCAGAAGTGAGTGTGAATTCAGATTCAGACCAGGCTCTGGTTTTAAGCGCTTTTTTGAGGAAAGATTTAGCTTTCCAAATAAATATATTTTGTTCCTGAGACTTTTCCCCCCTATAACTGATTCATTTCTTTCAGGCTTGAATGTTTAAAAGTGCTTTAAAGCAGGGGGAAAAAATAATATATTACAATCAAAATATTTTCATCAAATATTTTGGGCAGCTTCTCCATATCCTGCTCCAACTATGGCAGATAGTGATTAAAATGGTTACCTGAATAATGTTAGTCCTAGCCACTTTCCTACATCTCTTCAGATTTTAAACTGGTGAGCAGCAGAACTGCATAAATTTCTCCTGAATGGAATAAGACCAAATTAATGCAAAGGAGATGTTTAAGCAGAATTTTGTGTACTTGAGGAATTAATGGCTGCCAAACAGGAAGTCCTAGAAGAAATAAGCTTGCAAAAATGATCTGTAGATAACAGTTTGCATATATTAGATAGAGTCCACGCAGCAGGATAATACAATAATACTGTGCCTATTCTCCTCTGCAGTGGAGGCAAAGTGTTTAACTCTTGTATTTCAGTGGAGGCATGCCAGCAGGACAGCCTTTTGATTGTTATTTTCCCGTCAGATTAATTAACCCAAATTTTCACTATCCCAATTTGATGAAGCCTGAAATTTGCTTTCAGTTTACCTTCCAAATCACCCATAAGATGGCATAAGTATCCTGTCAGTATCCATAATGCTACTCAGGAAGGAATCCACTGAAATCAATTTTATTCAACAGCTAGCTCAGCACAGCAGTGCTAGCTACAAAACTCAGTTTAACACAGATCTTTAAAGAAGGCTTCTGAGGAAAAAAGTGCTGCCCTTCCTATCATACTAGATGCTGAAAAGACCAAAAAAAGTTGGGTAGAATTTTGTCTTGGGAATTTGCAGGTTTTTCTTCCCCAAACCATTTTTCAAAATGGTGATTCTTAAGGGCTGGATGTTTCAGGAACAGAAGACCCTTAGAAAAAGAAATTCTGCCCCAGAAAAGGCACATACAAAGGACTCAGATTTACAGGGCCTTCATTTTTCACACCATGCCTTAAAAAGCCCAAGGTGAAACTTCCTACACAAGAGCAAGGAGAACAACCACAGCCCTGCAAAGAAGGGTAGTGCTTCTAACAAAAGCCCATATTTTGCACAACTCTTCACTGGGCTGGGGGAGGTGTTTCATTTAATAACAGGTAAGAGAGTCAGTCCTTTTGTTGTGCCAAGTTTTTGCCTTTTAAGTCTGAAGTAGACAAAAACAAAGTTGAAATCCACCTCCAGCCAAATTTGAGACACTAAGTTGTGATTTAGGCAAGAGTGCTTGTTGCAATTTTGC